GTGGTTGTGTCGCACTTCCAGATACTACATATATATGTATATATAGTTGTATAATGTATCCTCTTTACCTTGTATTGGTATTTATATAGTTGCATAATGTATTTATGTATTGTATCCTTGCTTTGTACACTAACTATTGTATTGAACTTACCATCAGTATTAAGATCATTACATCACCGATATCATACTATCAGCATTATTATCAGCCTAGTATATAGCAGCAGTAGCAGTTTTGTAATATTTAGCATTGTATCAGTTTGTAGTACTGTTTGTAAGTATTCTAGTAGTAGTTTTGTAATATTGTAGTATTGTAGTATGTAGCAGTAGAAGTTTTGTAGTGGTGTTTACTCCTTTGGTTTTCTATTGTTATCGCTATCTGTATGTGTGTTTTGTTCTAATTATGTCTATGTGATTATAGTATTTATTCAAAACTGGCACTTGCACCTTTGTAATCTTATGCTTTGTCAAAACTACAAATGTACCCTTTATTTATCTATTTATTTTATTTTTTTTTAGCCCTTGTCTGGCCATGTATTTGTTGAACTTTGACTCAATAAATACTAGGCCCGGGCGGTTCGTGTGAACATGCTTCTGGGGGCTTCTTTGGTCTTTTGGACTGCCACCTGGATGGCCTGGTCGCTGGGTTTCGGTGTATGGTGCGAGGCGCCTGTGGGGCCCATCTGGCTCAAGATAGAAGTGAACGTGTTGCATATGCCAATTAACCATTATGGTAAAGGGATGGTGCACACGTCCCCCGTCAACTATCAACTATCCTACTGAGCCAACACCGTTCTCACTCTGTATTCTGACTATCATTTTGAAATAAAGATCACTTATGTTGCTTGCTGTCTCTGTCTTTTTTTTTTCCAAATTTCATCACTTTCTGACCACTCCTTGGTGTTGCATTTTCAATGTCGAGCAGTGTATTTTGTTCTTAATACCTTGATAAAGAAGTTCAACAGTATTGTCTACAGATTTATGCATTCAAATACAAGACTAAATACAATATTTTAAAGTTACATAAACTTAACATCTTTCTAAGTAATACTGCAATGTTACATATTTTTGAAGAAAGGAATTAAGGAATTCCATATATATGGTAAGGCACTAGACTATCTTTTGCATTGTATCATCAGTTAATAAAGTTAACACATAGAGCTCTAAAATTAGTTTGTCTGTTAATAATCATTTCAAAATCCGAACAGAGACATGACATTCCATTCATCAAAGCAGATTATATATCATCTTCTTTTCAAGAAATTCAATGGATTATAGATATCTAACAAAGCCACTGATAAAACTTGGGAGGTACTGCTCTGCTCAAAGACTGAAATATTGGATAACTCCTAGATTTCATATTATATACATTGGAATTGGATTATTTAATTAAGTTGAATATTATATATATGATTGTATATGCAATCATATATGTGATGGATTATATATGTGATCTCTATCCCGTTAAATGTACCAAAGGTAGAATCTAAAATCCTGCACCTTTCTTCTGATATTGCCATTTTCTCAAGAGAATTTTTGGATTGATGCATCTTAAGAACGTTTACTCTTTAAAGACTACCATCATAAATGTTTATGCCTAGTCTAAAATTTCAAATCCAGGCCTACTAGAATATGTATTCACAGCATGGAGGTGAGGGGCCAACCCCGCACTATGACTGAAGCAATGCTACCAGGCTTTGGTCTCCAGATGGGGTGTTTTTTGTGTACATCCAGAGCTTCCTTGACAGCGCTTTAATAGTATTTCCACACATGACATTTCCATATAAATCAAAAAGTGGGGCATTTCCGCATAAAAGAAACATTCATTGTTGGATGGATAATAGAAATTTGTATAGTTTGACATTTATGCAAAAATCACACCTTGTTTATTTTTTGATATCTTGCAACAGCAATTTTGCAGTACCTTTAAAATTGTATACATCTTTCGATATCCTTGATAGAGTATTCGCTACTTTTATTGTATGTTTCAAATAAAATACATGATTTGTCATCCATATATTATCATTTAATTTTTATATAACTTAAAGATAATCACTTTGGATAACTGAAAAATGAAAAAAAAAAAAAAAAAAAAAATTAAAGTTCTGTCTCTCTTTTTCAAAATTTTATTTAGCAACATGTTTAATTGATTACTAAATGTAATGCAAAACTATGAATGAAAAATCTTTGTTATTCAATACATATACTTGAGTAGTGGTCTGCTATTTTTGAAAGAGCTTCAAGACATGCAAAAAGGATCATCAAAGTTATTAATCGGCATATCAATATATTTAGCATATTGTTACCTTCTGGATTACCTTGCAATATGAAAATTTCAGGTATTTGTGAATTTAGATAAATTAGTTGTTTTAACTGTTTTAAAAAATGAAGCAATATTATGCAGAGTAAGGCAACCAAGATTGCAATCTGATGACAGAGAAGCTAATGTTTAAATGTGAAATGGGATAGTTATTATATTATCAGACAACTATTAAACTGAGTAAAATCGCTATGCTCTGCCAAAATATATTTGTTAGAAAATTTGATTTGGTAATGAATGTATCCTAAAACTTGTTTTAAGTCAAAAATTTTAAACTTGATGTCTAAATGTAAATATAAAATTATGCATGTTAAAATATTTGTAATTAGGCACATATGTCAGATTAATTTTTTATTAAATAAGGTAAAGTATGCAAGGGCTGTCTGTCTTAAGGAAGAGATGCCATCATGGAGGAATTTTAAAGGAAAACTTAGTTATTAGGGGTATTAAAACTAATGGGAAAATTAAATTAATGTGGTATTAAAACTAATGCATGTAATTTTCATTCAAATTATATTTATACATAATTCTTATGTAAAAAATACTTGTATGCTAAATTATTGTAAATTACTTTACTTGAAAAAGATAGTGAATTCTCCGAAATTACAGGATTTGCACACACTGAAAGTGAAAAATACTAAATATACATAGGTATTTATGTATATACTTCCAAAAAGCATGTATCTGCCTTTAACAAAATACGTTAATATTTACTCAGTTATTTATAAATGCATTTGGAAATGAAGGATTTATTCATTCATAAACTCATGTGAAAGTTACTCTGAAGAAATATAGTTATTAAATATATCTAAATTCATAATAATTATAAATATTTTCTGAATATATAAAAACCTTAACATTTAATTATAAACATAAATTGAAATTCTCTTGATAAGTACGTTTATAAAACTATTTAAGCAAGAATTGTTCGTACTGGAAAGCAAATTCTACGAGATGCGTAGTAGTTTATTGGTTGGTTTATTTAATTATGGCAAAGCACACTAGAGCTATCTGCCTAAGGGGAGGGATGCCTTCGTGGAGGACTTTTTAAGGAAAACTGGCTCATATACACGTTACACATGGGGAAAACCACGAAAACAGCCATGCAGCCAGCCCGTTCGCGGGATTCAAACCTCAGACCGAACTACCAGTGTTCAGAGACTTTACCGCTCGGCCACTGGTTGGCCGAGATGCGTAGTAGAGAAGAGTTTTTAGAATATGTATGATTGAAATTAAGGGTAAAAAAAATCTGATAATTATTAAAAGAATTATTTCCTTACATTTTATAATAACTCAGTTACAAGTTTTAAATAGTATTAAAAAAAATCTTTTTCTTTATTCCCTTTCAGAAATATTCATAGAAAGTTAAGTATGTGGAAATCAGCACCAATATTTAACATATTTCACTATTAAAATAAAAGATGCTCACCAAACAGAGCATTAATTATAAATTGATTCAGATTTTTGATTTAAAAGATGCTTCAGATGCTAAAAAATCATGTCAGATTTGAGAAAGTATTTTAGGAAGAAGCTCTCAGTAAATAGAAAAGAAATAATGCCTAATTTTAATATTAATAATACAATAAACTTTGATCTTAATTTTTGTAATCCTTAACTGAATAAAATCGAACTACCTTAAAATTCGTTTTAATGTAATTAACGGAAACTTGTGAAAATATTTCATTCAAATTAAACTGTTCTAGGAAAAGTATAGCATTTAATTCTGTTCAGAACGAAATTTTGTTTAAAAATGCATTCTTTTCACATAGTACTTAGGACTCTGAAATATTGTGGAAAAAGAAAAATATATATTCATACATATATTTACGACGTAATTACAAAATGTTTACATCCGGTCATATCAAAACCTATTGATCTTAATAGTAATTCGCTAAATGGTTTGGTCTCCATGATGGGATTGCCACTGCTTCAAAGCAGTGAATGGGAAAAACCAGTTAGGGCCTCTCCTCTTACTTACTTCCTCCATGATATTCAGCCTCCCATAAACATTTTAACATTTAGGGTGCTTCCTGCATTACAAAAATTTGAATGTAGAACATTTTCTGAGAAAATATTTTAATTTTAATGTATATCAATCAAAATTTCTAAGCAAAATAATTCTGAACTGTTGATCTAATGGTACCATTAAAAATTACAAGACTGTACATTGTATAACAAAGGTGAGAGAGAGGAAGAGAGCAATTTGAAATTTTCTAAAATTACATGATAATAAGATGTGATACAATAATAGAAAGTGAAGGAAATAATTTATCATTGGTAGAATACTAGGAAATTTTATTCTGATAAAAGAGAATTACCTTATTTTCATTAATTTTTAAATATCCAGTATTTCTGACAACTAAAGAAATTCATAAATATGTAAGTTTGCAACAGGATTTTTATATTTACATATACATTATTTATTAAGTATCTGATTTTTTTTTGGCAAGATCAGTATTGATTCACTGACATTTTTATGCCTTATTTTTGAGGTTTATTAAATTTCAGTACAACAATTTTTGAGTTTATGATCAATTACCTGTTTCCATGAAAAAAACTGCAAAATTTGGCATGCTAAATATATCTTTTTTAATTTTTGAAACTTAAGCTGAGATATCAAATATAAAAGTCATCTATTAAATGAACACAGATAAGTAAAACATTTCCCTTGAAGGCAGCCAAATCAAATAATGGTATTTTAATTAAAATTAATATAAATCTATTTTAAATAAATACAATATACATTTAAAACTTTCAAAGTGTTTTAGAAAATGTTACATTTTTCATGGTAACAACATAATGTTGTTCAATAACTGCATCTCTTACCATATAATTTAATCTGGCAAGATTTCTGGTGGAAGATCTTCATCTTCAAAATCATCTCTATTTCCACTGGCTGTTTTGGGGCGTCCTAGAGGAAATTTTTCATCAAATATTATGTCTAAAAGGAAAGTATAATGTATGTAAAAATATCTCCAATGTTTTACAAACAAATTAATTATTTTGTTTACTCATCATCTTAATTCAAAATTTAAAGTTATTATATAGGGCATCCACAACGTAAGTAAAATGTGCATTTTTGTGCATATACAGAGTATTTCAGCAATTTGGTTGCAAACTTTCAGGAGAGATAAGAGTATACCTAGAAGATGGGAAAACACGTAGCAGTGCATGGTCGGAAACACTTTCTGGCGCGGTAGTAATGACACAAAATACAAGAAAGTATGGACACGAAAAGGGTGAGAAAACATGTTTATTAGGCTTAGTACAGCAAAAATCAAGAAATGTAAACAGAAGCCGACAACAATTTTCATTAAAGAAAGAATTAAATTTCGTGACATCGAAATTATGACCCCGGACCGTGATGCAGGCCTCAGATCTCCGGCGCATGAAAAATACCTGGTGTGTCCCGGACTTCCCCAGCAGCTGCCACGATGCGTGCAACAAGTTCCTTAGCACTTTTAACGGGGATTTCGTACACCAGTGTCTTGATGTAACCCCCCCCAAAGGAAGCAGTCAATGCAAGTGAGGTGTAGCGATCTTACTGGCCAATGCACCTGGACCACTCCTGCTAATCCAATGTTAAGGATATGTTGCATTCAGGTGGAGACGCATATCTAATAAACATCTTTTCTCACCCTGTTCGTATCTATCCTTTCTTGTGTTTCATGTCATCACTACCATGCCAGGAAGCATTTCCGATCATGCATTGCTATGTGATTTTCAATTGTCTAGGTGTGCTCTATCTTTCCGGAAAGTTTGTAACCGAATTGCTGAAACACCCTGTATATATATACAGAGAGAAAGGAAAAGACAGCATATATGTTTTTATATTGATGCAGTAGTGTATTCTATAATCTATTTGTGAATCTCCCTAAATTATATTATGATATAATTATGTATCTCCAGTCTTAACCTCTTGTCTTGTATAATATTCTGTGGATACCCATATAGCATGTTAATTACCATTCTTGCAATAATGATTAACAAACCTTGGTGATCATTAATTGCATTAGATTCATCAGTTTCTAATATTTTCTGAGCACTGTTTAAAGTTTTAGCCGAGGTGCTTAGTGAATGTCCAGAGTGAGTTTGTCTAGGGCTTCCTAATGGTAAACTTGCATCTAGAATACAAAGATAAAAGCATACTATGAGTTACAACCGTAAAAGTTTATTTTATTTGTTAATAATATATTTAATTTTAGATTCAAGTATGTTTAATGTGCCACTATATTTAATATTAACCACTAAATTAAATCACAAAAATAAATTAAATAATTATCACAAGTAGGGAGGTAATCCACAAAAGTTTTAAAATATGAAAATTTTATATACAGGTATATGTAAACAAATGTTATATCTATCTAATTTACATATCTGTTAAGTGTTAATAAACATACTGTTTACTTTTTGCATATATCTGAATAATTACAATAAACGGTACATTGTATAAAAATAAAATCAATTTAAATATAAAAGAATACTATAAATTGAATAAAATTAACATACTTTTCTCTTTTAAATTACAGAACATAATTCTAAAATAAAAAGCACAACTTTTTCTTTAGAAAATAAAACAAAAATAGAGACATCGATATATTAACAGCACTTTTTTTATAGCATTCAGAAGTAATTCAGGATATATGACTGTAGAAGTGTCAATAAATTATATGTTGTTAAAATTTTACCAGAACTATGTGGCATTACGTTAGTGCTAAAACTTAAGCAAACTGTAAATGATTACTGACATTGTAAATCTTAAAATCTCAATGTTCCAAGTTATTTTCTTCTTTGAAAGCATTATAAATGTTATCAGATTTCTAAGTAATTTAACTAATTTAATAAAATTGCACAATTGTAAGAAATATATCATGGATTTTTCTTATTTGTCTGTATTTATTTAGTAGTGAAGTAGGTAAAAATTTATTCTTTGCTTTAACAGGTACTAAGTCCTGATTTTTTGACTGGCTGACAGAGCATAAGGAGAGAAATGTATTCATGAAAGATGAAAGTCGGTTGGTTGATTTCATCAAGGTAAAGAACACAAGCAGTATCTGGGGAAGCCTTTGTTGAACAGCTTTTATAAAAAATTGGCTCACATTCATGTCTTCACAGAACTTTCTTTTAAGGGAAATTAAGTCGAATTTGACATTGCCCATAAGGTATAGATACATAGACCACTTAAGTTTTAATAAAATAGTATGCGATAAATTTTTTATGAAAATATTTTTTTTTTTCTTTTCAAAATAATTGCCTTCAGCAGCGCAGCAGTTTTTCATTTGAATAAAAGAATTTTAAAAAGAGGTACAGTCAAAAGTCATTAATTCGGACACTCATAATCCGGAATGATCTATAATCCGGACCTCAAAGCTACAACCTTTCTGCGCATGCGTCAACAAGCGTGCGCGTAAGACCTTTACGGCTGGGAATATGCGTGTGCGCATGCGCATAATACGTTTACGCTTGCGCATTTAATGTATAACGGATGGTATAAATTAAGCTAAAATGATCTAATTCAGTTAATGTTGCAGATTGCGTTGTTCCTTAATCTTCAAATTGGATCCAGCTTATTATTTTTTTCAGACTGTTAGAGCAACTTTATAAAAGTAAGCTTGAACTTTCGATTATGTCAAATAGAATTTCCGATATATATTTACTAATATGTAAAGCATTTACAAAGCGAAAGTATGTTTCGAAGTCCATTAAACAAAAAGTGGAATTGCTGCAAAAAATGGATAAAGGCATATCCTTTTTTTCTCTAACCATTCCGAAATCTGTTTATCAGTTTCACGCTGCTCTGCGGCCGGGGGGGGGGGGGGGGGGGGAGACGTCGTGGTGCGCAATGAATTGGAAGTTGATCTGTCAGCACTATCCTTATCTTCAGGGCAGATGTTTTTATTTTATTTGGCTTATAATTCCTTACTAAGTGTAGTATTTCATCTCGATGTACTCCATCTTTGATATGATTTAACTCAAGTTCCTCGTCATTATAATTCGCTTCCAATAGTGAAGAAAGTGACACAGAGGTTATTGAAAACGAAAAAATTTCGATTGACAAATTAGTTGGTATTCTCGACACAGCAATTATAGGACTTGAACAGCGAAACTTTGTAACTAAACAAGAAATTATGTCTGTTTAATAGAATTAAAGAGAAAGTATTATCACATAAAACGAAGCAACTTAAACAACTTACATTGAAAGAAATGTTTAATAAAGTAAACAAATAAATATTAAGCTTTTTCTTTTTGTGAATTTTGATACCCTTTAGATCATAATTGTTCTTTATTTCATAAATTATGGTTTCGTATTTTTAATTTTATAATTTCTGCATGCCATCTTACCAGATTTAAACTGATGATCTATAATCCGGAAAAATCGATAATCCGGAATCGCCAAAGTCCCGACGAGTCCGGATTAACGACTTTTGACTGTATACCATTCAGAAATTTGTATAGTAGAAACAAGTAATTTATAGGCATCAGATGCTTTTTTTCAGAGCTCTTGAATTAGAGACAATGCAGTTTATTTTTGATTGTTGGAAACAAGAAAAAAGGCAGTGAATGCTGATTCCATGCTTCAGTTTGAAACTGAACGGACAGTTTGAAATGGGAAAATGTGAGTTTATATTATCATGATGCAGAATGAGGCCATGTTTTGTGATTTTTTTCCTCTTTTTTAGTTTAGCAACTATTTCTGGCACACAAATTATCATATAACAATCAGCATTTACTATTCTATGTCCCTCCAAGTAAAAATTCAGGCATGGGCAGATTTTCTAAAAAATATAACAATAACTTCTTCATGCATAGATAGCTTTTATAAGTTTGGTTTATTTTGAAACGCCCAGTTCTTTTCAGATTCATACGAATAAATGTATATTTTTTCGCCGATTACAGTGTCAGAGGTAGTTTTTTTAATCATCAGACTTTAATATTTTGAGATTTTTCTTGCTTTGTTTAACAAGAACATCATTCTGAGATCAAGTTAAATTGGTCAGAATCTAACACATGCATATCTTATTCATTTTTAAATGATCATGTAAAGCTGAATGTTCTCATATACTCAAGAAATTCAAAGGTAATTGCGCCGACGTCGGTAAGTTTCATCACATGTCATATGATAATCTAAAGTGATCATTTGTTAGACTTATAGAGTCATTAGGTTATTTCGAAGCACGAGAGATGAAAAATGAGCAATGCCCTCGCCGGGAATCGAACCACGGACCTCTCGAATACACGTCGAGCGTGCTGACCACTACATTACGAAGGCATGCTAAGAAGGCGAGAAAAATACCTTATATACTCCCCCTTTTAAAGGGCGACTGGGAATTAGTGGAGATTCATCATCCACCACCTTTTTTTTATGGCATCCCACCCCCTCATTTTTGGAGGAAATGTAACAGTTGCTAAAATGCCATATTGTATATTTAAATTTTACCTATGAAATACTGTAAATAAACATCTAAAAAATTGTTTTCTCGATTCTCTAAGGTGATAATTAGTTGGACGTATGGAAATATGCCTATTTTTATAAAAATCCACAGGTTATGGAAGCAATTTTTTGGTGAATCCACAGTTTCAAAAAGCACAGTTTCAAAAAGCTCAGTCTCAAAACGGTCATTGTTATATTTCTTTCTGAAATTTCTTTTTCTTGGCTTGTCTGCATCAAAGAAAGAGCAATACAACTATGACTGGACTTTGATCCTGATTATTTTGTTATACAACAAGATAAATGTTGCTACACAACAAGCTAAATTGTTTTTGTTGTTCAAAGAAAAGTTTCACTTGCAAGATATATTTGTATATTGTTTCTTTAAACACACCAGCACTACATAAGATGAGGAAGTACCAAGAAAGAACACGAGAAATCATTATTTTTTATAGACATATTCTACAGCAAAGCTTGATAAATATTTTAGTATCAAATCTACTACTGGCCTCTTATCATGAGCCATATATGTGCTACTGCTCTGGAAAAAACAAGCAGGAAAGAACAAAGAATTATAGAAGAAAATAATAAAATAAAGGAATATTAAAAAACCAAAATAAATCTGAAAGCTTCAGATTATTTACATTACGCCCAAAGGGCCATTTTTTTAACGTTTAAACCATAAAATTCAACTCAACAGCAGAATCGCAAAATAATTTTTAAATAAGCATATCCTTAAAATTTCGAATACACAGTTTCGCACGCTGGAGATAAAAGTTCCCCCCCCCGTACAACCGTATATTCGGTGGAGGATTATGTTATTCAAAATTTGATGGCTCTAGGTACTGTTGTTTTGTCTTCATACGAGAAACATACATGCGTTTATGCAGATTCTTCATTATTTAATTTCTTTAAATATAACACAGGGAAATAATATTTGGTGACAACAATTTGAAAAGTGAAACGGACATTTTAAGTTTTCGACGCAAAATGCCAAAACGAAATTGATAGCCCTTCTGGGCTAATGCTCTTTGGGCTAATAAACATAGGTAAATTTGAGTTAAAATAACATGCCAAATAACGATTATTGGAGGCAATAAGAATCAAATTTATGAATATTACTCTGATTCTTGTTGCCTTAAAACCTCCAATAATCATATGTATATCTATTAAGAATTAATGAATAATTATAAATGAAATAAAAGCATTATGCAATATGAATATTGATAACTTTTCATGACTCATTTTAAATATATTTGAACCCACTGCTTTATAGTGTGACCAGTGCTTAAATTGCGCCGGAGCCCACTGGAGCTCGGCCAGTACCTCCTACATACATGGCCCTGCTCCGCTACTTCTCAATTTTTAAGATAAATTACAATTCTAGCCGGAGCGCACCGGAGCCATAAATAAAATGAGCTCCGGTACTTCTTTTTATAAAACTGAGCCACAATTTCAACAAAATAAATAAATAAAAAATAGAATTCCTAACGTTTTAGTTTAACAATAAGCAGACCTTGCAATACTCTATTTCCCTAGAAATCCGAACTCATGAGAGCATGAGACATTCAACTAAAGTCCCCTCACTCACATACGGAAACCTTTAAGAAGGGCAATAAATTTGGGTGCGCTTGTTTAGGAACGTGTAAAATGCCATCGTATCTAGTATATTGTTATCGATGGTTACAGTTAGTTATCCTCGCAGGAAGGAAAATTTGTGTTCTTAACTGTGCGTTAAGTGACAGCGAGTACAATAAGAGTGAAATACTGAGATAAACTGTACAAGCACGTCCTATACATTGTCTTCCCACAGTATCCAGTAATGTAACCAAATACGGGGGGGGGGCAAAAAGTGTAAACAGCAACTTTACATTCATCCTTAGGAGTCAGATTCAGGACTCATTTTACCCCTGACATGATGGCTAAAATTATATTATCAGAGAGCCGTGGTTAATGAAAATGTTCTCTCTCACCAATATTTCTCTCATTTTTTGTTTCCACCTACTCATATCATCACGCCCTCATTCTGTTTCGCCCTGTTTTTAGCATTATCTGAATTTTCATCAGCTATAAGTATATTTAATTTTTGCGATGACAGAAGAACTTTTCCCCCCTACGATCAGAGTTTAAATTGGGCTGGAGCCCACCGGAGCTGTTTTTGTAATAGATCATAATTCTAGCCAGAACGCACCGGACCCCTAAATAAGAAGGCTGCGGCACTTCTTTTATATGTAATTAAATAAGAATTTCAGTAGAAGAAATTTTATCTCAAAAATTTTATTTTTAGCAATAAAATTATATTAAAAATCCCTTTTTAAAATTTTAATTTATCTCTTTACATTCAATTTAATTTTAATTATCTAATTACTTTAATTATTTAATTACTTCAATAAATAAAACTATTTAATTTTAAAATTGTTAATGAGTTTAAAAGTCATCTTATTTATTTGTTTACTCTTGCTCCTCTTTGCTGACGGTCTGCCACAGGGCTCCGGCACTTCTAATTTTAGAAATTAAGCCCTGAGTGTGACTTATATTGAGTGATTATCTGGAGAGAGTGAAAAACATGACCAAACAATCTCTGTTCTTTTTTAAATAAAGCCAGAAAAAAAAAAGTGTAATGTAATTCAATAAAGATGAAAAGTATTTTGTGCTGCTTTTATTTGACGAGACTTGCAAAAAATTATTTGATAAAGATTCGCAGAAAGTGACTTAGATTAATCAAGGTTGCCACTTAAACAGGAGAATGAAAATTCCCTGACTTTTCTAGGTTTTCCAGGTGTGTTTCAAGAAAATTCCAGTCTATCCGCGTAATGTACGTTGGCTGCGCTAAGAGGTAAATTAATTATGGTATTACTTGTATTGTGTAGCAAATTCACTTAATTATTCAATAAATCCCAGAGGACATTTATTCTTAATTATTCTTGGTATACTTTGTTTGATAATTTTGTTTACTTTTCCACTTAAGAAACTTAATAAAATTTAAGATATATACATTGGATAACAAATGTATGTTTTATTTAATTATTACTCATGATCATCACCAGTTCAACACGAGGCTAATCTGGTCCTTATAAATCACAACGCAATGCTAAATAGTTAGGTTAGATTTTAGGTAAATTTAATTTGTGTGAGGTTATGTTCTTAAAAAGCACCTTAACACTTGAAAACACAAATATAATTATAATAATTGTTGTTTTCTCCATTGAAGATTGAGATTAGAATCTTCCCAATCTGGAATAAAATAAGGCTTTTTTTGCACACATTCTGCAGCTAAACGAAAGAAAGAAATCTATTTTAATAAATTGAGGTATTTATATTTATTTCGCAGCATACATAAGGAAAAAATATGTGCATTAAATTTCGTGATGGTATGTCATCATACTGCTGGAATTAATTTCAAGATTATGCCAGAGAAAATTTCCTGAAATTTGGAAATATTATTTACTAATAATAAATTTAGAGGGAAGAAGCATCATTAAATTATACGAATAACATAAAAATAAAGATAATTACTTAAAAATTGAATTAGAATAATCAACGATATTTTAGCGAATATAGTTATATTACATGGTTAGCCTAGATGACAGATTACTATTTTTTATTTTACTGCAAAATGGCAAGGTATTTATTAAAAAGAAAAAAAAAAGTTTAAAAAGATTTTGCGGTAAAATTCTAGTATACGGTAAGGCTTCGGCATGATTTTGAGAATTGTCGCCAAGACCAAAATGACAGGTTTACTGCGCATCATCATATCGCCAAATCCCATTGTACCATACATGGAGATTATTCTAACCAGCTGCCCGAATGACACTCACGTGATACACAATTCGCCAAAAAAGTTATCTCTTCCGACGTCGGCGCAAAAATCGCTTTTTTTGGCGGGATCATTGTATGAACTTCCCTGACTTTTCCAGATTTTGACAAAAATACTTAAATTCCCTGACTTTTCCCTGAATTTTTTGGTCAATTTTCGAATTCCCTGACTTTTCCCGGTTCTCCCGGTTATCCAGGTAGCGTGGCAACTCTGATTAATGTTTCTTAATTTAAGAAACATTAATCAGAGTTGCCACGAGTGAACCCTTCAGGGTGCAATAAGTGATTGCAATACCGGACCATACCGGTATTCGGTATTTTTTTTAATGCTGTACTGTAATACTGGTATTAGGAATTTTTCAAAAAAACTTTAAAAAAAAAAAAAAAAAAAAAATTTTTTTTTCCATTTTTATTTTTTGAAGTTTTATACAAAAAATGAAAAAATTCATAAACTATAAAAATATAAACAAATTTATAATGTGCAAAGATAAAATAAAGGAAAAATGTTATAATCAAATATTATCAATAAAAGCAATAAAATAATAATTTATAACATGCCTTTTCTTTACGCGAATTTTCAGTGCATTGTATAATTCCTCACATAGTGGTGTGTCCCGATCTTTAAGTGATTGCAACATAACATTTATTGTTGCATTCTCTATTAATAAATTGGAATTCTCCATAGTAAGCTTTCTTGGAAGTAGAGCTGATACAGTTTTAGATATTAAATCAAATTTGCTATCGGAAAAATTAATTTGTAAACTTAAGTCAATTAATGTTTTCTGAACTGGAATTTTTAATTTAAAAAATTGTTCCATCATTAAGAGCAAACTCTTACAGCATGCTTCAGAATCTAATATTAACATAAGTTCTTTTTTTCATATCGGTAAGTATATATTTTTGCAAAACGGCATTTTTTGTAGGGGAATGTTTAAATATCTTAATAACTTTTTGAATTTTCTTAATCACAGAAAGCAATCCTTGGTAAGTTAATATTTCATTCTAGCTACTGTTATCTTCTTCATATCCAAATAAGGTTATTTCAACAGTTGTATTATCATTTTCTACACTGTTCCTCTTTTCAAAGTCATTATCAGAAGTTTCTAATTCAGGGTATTTTGCTTTCCCCCCCTCTTGATTTTGATGATGTAGAACAATGGTTATCACAAGCTGAACTCCATGAGCATGGAATAATTCCTGATTTGCATCAATTAACTTCTCAACTTTTTTCATCATCGTTGTTTCATCAGTGGTGATGGAGGCAATATCTTCTTTCAGAGATAATCCTTGTTCCTCCAATTTGGAGTCAACTACTTCTACACATTTTGTAGTTGGCATACTTACTGAGATGTATGTCAGTCCAATATTCAAAATTTTCTTTTCTGAATGAATATTTATATTTAAATAACATATATTTTGTACACTAGTCCATTCATCAAATGTGAGAATAAATTTTGTACTAATTCAGTTAATTATTTTTCAAAGAATTGAAAACACTGTTACTAAAATTTATAACAGTTCTTTTTACAGTATTAACAGATTTTGGTATATTTTTTAAACTTCTTGCATTTAAGGACTTTCTCAATTCAATTGAAGTAAAAAACACTCTGAATGGCAAAACATCTAATGCTGTCATTCTAGATGAAACTACATTGAAACGCTATGTGATGTGCCACTACATACCTAAATTATATGAAATTAATGGAAATAGTAAATCATGCAATCAGTTTTACTGTCTATTTTAGGGTGAAGTTATTATGCATGCTAAACATTGCTTTTGCCTCTTTCAATAACGAAAATCAATGGAACGAATCACGTGTTCTTAGAAATGCTTGTCCCCGAGCACAGAAAACCCTAGTTACGGCTCTGGTGCATTGCATGTTGCACAGTCATGCAAGTGCACCGAAAGAGAATTTAAAATAATTTTTAATTAATGCAATAAATTTAGTTAAGTATATCAGAGGTTAAGCACTTAAGCATCGTATCTTACCTACTTTGTGTGAAGAAACTGGTGCTTTTTATACTGTGCTTTTTATCATACTGGAGTATGCTGCTCTCAAAGAGCCACTTGCTAAGCAGGGTTTTGGAAGCATGATTACAGCTTCTTGTTAACAAAAATTGTGATAGTTAAAGCTTTTGAAAAAAAGAGGAGCAATACTTTAACTAGCCTACATAATGGATATATTCAACTACTTCTATGTAAGCCTCCTTTTCATGGAAAACTTTTACCCCTCAAGCATTGGTGGGCTTTTTTCGTACGACATACAGTTCAACAGCAAAATCATAAATTTTTTAAAAGCAGCATATGTTTAGAATTCTTGCAGCAATGTTAAGTATTGACATACATTTTTCTATTTTATTTTCATTCTTTTCATAGTTCATCATATCAATATACAGTTTTCTTAGCAAGATGGCTTACAAAACTTTTTTTTTTTTTTTTTTGTCTTTTTACTATTAAATTTTTGTGTCTTAACTGTGTTTATTAGTATCGCATAAATTCTTCGCACTTACGCCTTAAGGTTATAATCTATAACCTTTAAAATTTTGCCATTGTTTTAAAGCCAGGCTATTTTTTTATAGGTTATAAGTTTTTTTTCAAAAAATTTATAAAAATAAAAAAACACAAGTTTAAAAAATAAATTAGAAATAAATATGTAATTTTATTTGTATTAAATCTAAAAAATCCTTTTATCAAATTTAATTAACTAAATATGATACATAGAACAAATTAATTATATATAATTCAAAAAGAGAAAGATGAATCAATATTATACAAGTATTATATGGATAGTTTTCTTACTACTTAAACTACTAGCAGAACCATCTCTAGAAGTTCGGCCACTACTTCTTCGACTTCCTGGACGACTTCCACTACTGGCTGTTCTCTATATAGGGAGAAGAAAATTCATTTTTAGTAACTATATGAATTGAAGTAATCATTTTAATTATTTTTAACAATTTATGAAATGGGGAAAATTATTATAAGAGTGTTAATTAATATGTTTGTAGTAAGCACATTAAAAAAATTCATACCTGTATTTTAACTTCTTTAGCTTTTTCAGCTTTTTTCAGTTTTGCAGCATATTCAGAAGCTTCTTTCAAACCTAAATCTGTGCATAAGCGTACAAGAAACCTAAGACCTATAATTAGTATGAAAATTAAAAATATCCATTAATTTTCTAGCTATAAAATATACTTAATATCACTACTACTTTTTTAATGCCAACCACAAGTTTATTTAATTAACATAAAATGTTAAAGCTTTAATAGAATTTCATTTCATGACAGCCAATAAATTTAATATTTTTTAAGTCTCTGAAAACTATAAGGTGAGATGGTTAAGTATTTACAATCAGATATTTTTCACTTATTATATGCATCAATCATAAAGCATTAATTTACAGGAAATGTATAACAATTCTTACTACTTTTTTGCTGAAATAAAAGTATTATACTGATTTTTGTCACTTTAATTCCTCTAATAATCTTTGAAAGTATAGTTAGGATTTCAAAATCAGATAAAACTGTTACCTCATTATTATCTGTGAAATGTATATAGGAGTTTCAGTTATGGATAGAGTGTACTGCTTGTGGATAAAAGTGTTCTTATCAATATGAATACATTATTGCTTTACCAGTCATAAATTTGTTTTGTTGGTCACCATACTTTTGTTTACAAGCTTATAAATTTATTTTATTGTTTATCAAGCTTGTTTACAAAAATATGTTCTCTAACGTTTTCCTTATGCAAACATAAATATGAACAAATTTTGTACATTAAACATTAATTTTGTAAGTTAAAGCAAAAGCATATTAAAATATATATGAACTCTGCTCTTAGAATTACTAGCATGTTGCATCAGTATTAGTATATAATTTTTATTCCAGTAGCTAAATTATAAAACAAAATAGTAAAATTCTATTTTAGTAATCTTAGAATTTAGAAGAGTTAATAGATATGGAATCATTTAAATACATAAAATCAAACACTGAATTATAAAACTCAGCTGAAGGTAATTTTTTAAACTTAGGGTTAAAATCCAGAATAATCTTTTTGAGCCTATTGTTGTTTCAAATGGGCTCAGACAGGGTGATGCACTGACCTGCTTGCTTTTTAACCTTGCCCTCCGAAAAGTCTTAAAAGACTCCAACATTAATACTCGTGGAACTATCTTTAACAAATCTGTTCAGATTTTTGCGTTTACTGAAGATATTGACATAGTCGCACGCACTCCCAAGTCACTTAGAGAAGCTTTTACATCTCTAGACGTTGCAGCCAGCAAAATGCATCTAGCAATCAACCAAAATAAAACTAAATACATGCCATGTGGTAATAACAGCAGTCCCTGTTTTGAAATTGGGAATTACAAGTTTGAAACTGTTAGCAAATTTAAATACTTAGGATTAGAAGTTAATACTCTCAATGGTTTAATGTCCGATAACCGTAGTAGAGTCACAGATGCTAACCGATGTTTTTTCGGTCTCAAAAAATACTTGAAATCTAACTTCACTAGCAGAAAAACGAAGATTTTAATTTACAAAAGCTTAATCAGACCCATTCTTACATACTCTGCTGAGCCCTGGGCAATGACAGAAAAAGCTAAAAGTATCATTTCTGTCTTTGATAGAAAAATTCTGAGGAGTATTTTGGTGGCATAAAATGTAACAATATCTGGAGAAGAAGAACTAACTCTATAAATCCTTTAAAGAAATAGATATAGTAAAATATATAAGGATTCAGAAAATTAAATGGGCAGGACACCTGTGCAGAATGGATGAAAATCGAGTAGCTAAAAAGATCTTCTCGGCCAGACCATTCGGCACTTGAAAAAGAGGGAGGTGGCTTGACTGTTTGGAAACAAGAATTTTAAAAATAACCAACTGGATGTCCATGGCCAGGAGGCAAGGGATAGAAGAGCTTGGAATTCGATTCTGAGGAAGGCAAGGGCCCATCCTGGGCTGTCTGGCCATTGAAAAAGAAGATAATTTTTTAATCAACAATTCTCCACTGAAAGCATATGAATTCTTATTTTTTTAATTACTGAATATTCACTTTAAATTTGCATTTTGCATTTTATTATTTGTAGCAAAAAGCAATTCATATTTTGCAAAAATTAAAATTAGTTTCCTTTAATAAATACTTTTTTAGTTGAAGCTGTAGATGAAAAGATAATTACATTCCACATCATCTGGAAATTTGCGATGAATAGCTTTATACTCTTCAAATGCTTGTTGGTAGTTACCACTCCTCCTCTGACATGCTGCTACCATTAACTTCCATTTGACTTGATTCGGTCTATTGGAGAAATAATTAATTTAAAAGAAATATCAAACCTCCAAATTTAGTTTTTACCATAAAATTAGTTTACTAAAATTCTATGCTATTTGAAAGCTAAAAATTGCAATACAGATTTTCAATTGAGGGAGTTTAAAATTACTGATGTAAATCATAGGAGCTACCACTAAACAAGGTAGGACTTTCTAAGGGAAACTGGCTCGTATACACTTTACACATTGGGAAAATCCCGAAAACACCCATGCAGCCAGCCCATTCGCGAGATTCGAACCTCGACTTTACCACTCGGCCGCTGGTGGACCTTTAAGTATTGTAAGGCTGTAAGTTACTATATCACACAGCGTTTGTTTCACAAAAAACAACTGTTTCAGATAATTTTTCTGCCTGGTTTCCTATTGAAAGAAAAGACGTGTGACTTTTTCCTTCCTTCCTTCCTCCCCCCAAAAAATGCAAGTTGTTCGTTTTCAACCAATCAGTTATCAGCTTGTTTGTAATGGGGAACCAGTTTTCCCTGTGTTAAACCCAAAGCGATCTATGGTGATTGGTTGTTGTGACAAAGCAGAAAAAATTTTCCAAACAGTTGTTCTTCCGAAACTAACTGACATATGATAGCAGCCTAAGAGAATGTGATCTATAAGTACATCAAGAGTTATTGTTTTTTAGTGACTTAATACATAATTTTTTTAATTTTCTTTCTGCCATATTAATGTAGTATTTAAAGATAAAATATCAGTTCATTCAAAATAACTCCAGTTTACATGATGTGTGTTTTATTCAATTATATGACTTTTACTTATTGGCTATACTCCCAGGCAAGTTAACATGCAGTAATAAATTTATGGATATTTTAAAACATGTTTAACTTTGAAATTTATATGAAATGAATATATCAGAAAATGAAACACTTTATCCTAGTAGCAGTAAATATCTGTCTCATTAGTATGACGACAGTTGCATTATGTTTCCAAATGGGAAAAAATGACATTCCATGATAGATTAACTTGAGACAGGAAAATATAACATGATAATTTTTAATTAAATTTCTGAAATTAATAAGCAACACAATTAAAAAAACATTTATTAAAAATTTGGTCGTTTTTATCCATATAATTGGCTATTATAAATAGATATTTGACTTCATTAGCCTCATTACTATTCATGAAATATAGATGGTATTTAATTTTTTTAAAAGTTTTGAAATTATTATGTCATTTTCCCAAGAACATTACTCAGATTTTAATCATCATATAGATCTATAGAAATAATTTTGTATTAAGTGTAACAAATTTATTCCAATTATAATGAATGCAATTATAATTATTGGATTTACAATCACTGGCAAACTTTTCTATGAAACTACAGTTTAGATGACAATTATTAATTAATAAGTGCTTAGTTTTCAGCATATCTTGATTTGATAATATTTTTATAATCTTGTATATCTAACAGCTAGCAATGTCTCTGCAGAAAATGGGAAAGAAAAAAAAAAAAGAAGGGATCAGCTAATATAAAAGCAATTTTATAAAACCTGCCTAATCACAAATGAAGTCACTATATAAATACATAACTCAATTTTTAAATAAATTACTTAAAATTTTTAATTTTGTTTTATTTCTGTTTCCAAATAGTGAAGATTATGTTATTTCAATTAGTTATGACCTAATTCTTTTAGAAAAGCAGTTTTCAAGTTGTTTTGCTCTTTTGTACGCCTTTTACCATTGCTAAAAGATAAACCTCCTTCCAAAACTTAAAATACACATTTATTTAGATCAGCGGTTCCCAAATATTTTGACTTGTGGAACACCTTTCACAATCATTTGCTATGGTAGATCCCTTTGGCCTAACCTATATCTTATTATGTAAAGGTTTTAGGAATAATGATATTGGGGGGGAAGAGGAGATATATAATAAAAATGCTCAACAAAGAGATTTAAACTATTGCACAATTGTTATGCATTGAAGTTATAGAGCTAAAAACTTTGAAATTAATCATATCACAATTTTTTTCTCAGTTATACTGAAGTATACATGTAGCTGTTAAACTTAGACACATATAAACATTCTTCTATAGTTCAATAAATTGAATCTTTTGCATTACAGCAGGTTTTTTACTGCAGGTAACAGCAACAGTAAAAAACGTCCATACAATAAACTCAATTCGGTTAATTTAATTCAAGTACATACACATTCATTACTTGTTACTCAAAGTTTTATTATTCATTTTTACCAATAACAGTGCAACCAGAGCGTATTGTAGTACAGCAATAGGCCTAAGTTAAGATATAACATAAAAATAGCATTCAAACACTTACCAGTGAACTGCTCTTTTCCATAACAGTTTTCTTATTTTAGGCACAGATGATATCAATTATAAACAAATATCTAGTTCTGCATTTCTGCAGCTTCTGTATTTTATTTTGGTATTTTTATAAATACTGCTTTACAGGGATATGTAATTGAGAAAAAAACACCGCTAATTTTGCTTCCTCAAGACAAGCTTTTTATTTTATTGCATTCATTTATATTTTTCATACTGAACTCATTCAATATCCATTTTAATGTCATCAGGCACCTTCAAATGAGTTGATAGAAACTAATAGTTGAATGAATGCGTCAAAGCTTCAAAGTGGGTTTGAATATTTGTCTACATTTTATGAATTCCTGATGTTTCCCCCCCCCCAATGGCAGATTGTGAACATTACAAATGTAACCCAGTCCATTAATCTATACAAGGCCAGATGTGGTGGTTTTACGTTTGATCAAAAGGATTTATCCAAAAGATTAAGTATTTTATTCAATGATGCATGGTTGGTAGTAATCTCGAAAGAAAGCCTTTTTGATAACTTTGTAAGTAAGTGTAACAAACAAATACTATTGAAACCATCTACTCAGTAATCTCAGTCTATTCATCCATTTATAATCTGAATTTAGTATACCGGATATGACTGATAAATGCCTCTTTCATGTTATCAGTCATATCTCTGATTCAACCAAGGAGGTGTTATTTGACTACAGGATGTTGAAGGCTAACTTTGAGATTTTTCATCAAGTAAACACTTGACAATATTGATCCTACAAGGTTTAATTAGAATCGCTGAAATGGCATATGCCTCAGTAACTTGAATTATATGTTATTTTTTTTTACTTTTTCATTAAAGGGAAGTGATGTTAAGATTTTCTATGCAGCCCAAATTTCTTTGCACATGCTCTCAATAATTTTAGACAGATCTTCTTTCAATTCAAGATAGTTTTTCCCCAAATTACATCACATTTTAGACAGAAAAATGGCACTGCTGGTCCACGCATTACTGCAAATTACACATACAGGCATAAAAGCTAACCATCATTTGCTGTTATGAATGCTACACTGATGAGCCAAAACATTATTATTATACCCACATTTTTCAATGAACTCATCTGGATGACATGGAGGGCACATGATTAAGTGAAATGGTATTTAACTGCTGTTTGTAAAAGGTAAGGAATCATTCTTGCACTTATTTTGCAAGTAATGAGAAAGGCTGCTGATCTAAGTGAATTTGATAGAATTGATATTGTATGGTCCGAAGACTCGGAACGAGCTTTTCTGAAACTGCATGACTGGTAGGTTGTTCACGATCTGCCATTGTTAGTATTTATGCAAAGTGGATAAATGACGATGAAACCAGCAGTAGACGCCAAGGTGTTTGATGTCCATGCATCATCAAAGACAAAGGATGTTGGAGACTCTTCCGCTAGGTACAGCACAATCGATACCAGATAGTGGCTCAGCTGACAGCCCAATACAATGAAGGTCCAAGTGCAAGTGTTTTGGAACATACAGTTCAGTAGACACTGTTGGATTTGGGACACCATGCAGTAGCAGTTCAAACACTACCATGTCAGAATATCTTGACTACATGAGTGCTGCTTAGACATTTGGTACAATCTGTCTCCAGTCATCTACTAAGAACTTGTGACATCCATGCCAAGGTGAGTTGCAGCTGTTTTGCAGGCCAAAATTAGTGTAACGCATTAATGAGTAGGTGGTCATAATGTTTTGGCTCTTCCTTGTATATTCAAGTATCTTCCTTTGTTATTTGGAGGATACCCCCTGCCATTATTCCACTTCTGTTGTGTTTTGCAAATGATGATTGAAGTGGCACTAAAGACTCAAAAATTGTTTATTTTGTGTAAAACTTATCTTGCATTAAAAAAAAATAATAAAAATCTGATAACAAAAACACAAACACTTACCTGCTTGAAAACTAAGCAAAGCACTCAAGTCAATCAATAATGTAACATTTTTCTACCAGGAATGTATCGCCGTTTTTCGATGTTTTAGCAGATGAGTAGTACAAAATGTGACACTAATTAATGTACACCTATTAGCTATACTAAAAAACTTCACAAAGAGAAGAAATGCACAGAAAATTATCGGTAGCATTGCTATGAAAATTCACTGTGAATTAACTCCATATCAACTAGACAAGCTCTGTTTAATGAGCCTAAGTTTAATAAACCTTCGAGCAGATTCTGGAATTTTTTGAAGGATTGAGAATGAGAGAGAATCTTCTCGAACACAGTGGATGTTCTCGAATCAGTGGACGTTCCACTCAATTTCTTCTGTCCTCCTTTTCTACAGTAAGTTTGGAGATAATGCCAGCAGAATGATCAAGTGTCAGCTGCTAAAGGAGCCACTAATCTAGATTAGCAAATTTTTATTCAGAGTGAAGCTTCTAATATTCTTATTTTTATTCCATACATTTTGTTTTTTTTATTTTTAAATTCAGTTTTTATTATTTTATTTTTATTTATTATTTTGTTTTCCAGAAGCAACTGTGGAGCCCATGGAAAAATTTAAATGGAGATCATAGGGCTCCACGGAGCAAAGTTTGGGAACTGCAGATTTAGATTATTTTTAATGGCACTACAGAAAGCTGTAGTCAGGCTGACTGCATTCCCTCCCAAAACTATGAAAGCCCCTATTGTGGTGATCCACGGTTTGAAAATGGTTTCTG